CAGAAGGACCATAGGAAAACCCAGACGCAGGTGGGAAGATAATATTAAAATGGATTTTAGAGAAATAGGATGGGTTGGTATGCACTGGATTCAGCTGGCTCAGAATAGGGGCCAATGGCGAGCTCTTCTGAACAAGGTATTGAACCTTCGGGTTCTATATAGTTTTGGAAAACACTTGAGTAGCTGAAGGGGCACGAGGTAGCGTAGTTGGCTAAGGCACTATATTACAAGCCGGAAGGTCACGGTTTCGAATCCCAATGTCATTGGATTTTTCAATTGACCTAACCCTTCCAACCTCACTATGACCCTGGCGTCCACTCAGTATCTAACAGAAATGAGTACCAGAAATCTTCCTCGGAGTAAAGGGCGGCCGGCGCGTAAGGCGGACAACCTCACCATCATCTGTGAGACAGTTGTCCAGAAAATGTGGAAGCCTCGACGTCTCACAGCCCTATGCCCTTTACGGCCTGTTACAGGTATAGTTTTACTTTTTTCTTTATTTGAGTATCTGAAAGACTGTTCACTTCTCAAGGAGGACTCGGCTCCATGAAGTTAGTTTAAGTTTGCCTACACAAAGCATGACTCAAATTTATGAAGGCTGAATGAGAAGGTCATATACTTTTGTCTGTAGACACTTCAGGCAGCAGGTAGCCCTACAAATGTCTGTCCACCAGCAACCATTCACACCATCGGATCCTTCCAATTCGGACTCTTTCATAAGACAAGGGGACCTCACCACGCCTTCTACAAATGTAGGGGCACAGGCTGTTAGGTCTAAGATGAATGAAGTGCAGTGGAATTACATAGCGCTACACCACGGAGGACAGCAACCTTCACCTAACTCTGTTATATTTTAGCGTCCTGTTGCACTGATTTAAGTCCATGATTTATTTTATCCGTCTTCTAGTGCATACATTTATTTATCCCCTCTTTTCACTCTCACTACATGTTTCGGCACCAATGTGTCATCTTCAGGTGCTGATCCAATCCACGACAAACTAATTCATTGCATGCCTTGTCTTTACATACTAAAATATATATTTATCATATATACTGACAAATGTCAAGTGTTAAAATACTAAAACTGTACAGCATATTTCTTTCCTACGTCGTGTTTCATTACGCGAGTCACGTCTATCATCCTCTTGATTTCGATTCCCGGCAAGGGCAAGAGATTTTTCTCTTCTCCACAGCGTCAAGACCCGCTCTGGGGCCTACCCAGTTTTCTGCCCAATGGGTACCGGGTGCTCTTTCCCCAGGGGTAAACTAACCGCGGCGTAAAGCTGACCACTCGCCTCCATTTACTGCCGAGGTCAAGAGGGGATAAGCTATAACTCCACTTCCCCATATGTCTTCATAGGGGCAACTTTACCTTACCGTACTTCTACATTAGTAGTAGTAGTAGTAGTAGTAGTAGTAGTAGTACATATTGTTGGGCTTATTTAAATTCATTTATGGTTTATACAACGAAGCTGTCAGGACCTCAGACTATATAACGTTGAATGGGCTATCCAAACAATATGTCTGGAAGAACTGAGGAAAACTACGAAACGCATCGACTGGGATAATAGGCGTCATGACAGAATTTCGAACCGAGAATCTCCTGAATAAAACGCAGAGGTGTAACCGCTAGAGTTAACTTCCACTCTCCCATAAGAAAATGTCTGCAATCAAGTCCGGTGACAGTGGGGGGCGGGCAATGTGCCCCTCATCTACGACAGTGGGGGGCGGGCAATGTGCCCCTCATCTACCAGCGCATGAGCAGTAAATGTCTATATCGCGCTCGTGTTTCACGAACATAAAGTGGGTTTCATGACGGCCGCGCCATAGCTCAAGCGGTTAGTCGCTGACTTCCCACCGCGGCGGCCCGCTGGTCAAGTGGGATTTGTGGTGGACAAACTGGCGCTGGGGCAGGTTTTCTCCGAGTACTTCGGTTTCCCCTGCCAATCTTCATTTCACCAATTGCTCCACCATCACCCTCACCTATCATCTGGGGCTGGTACAATAGGCCAGAAGTGGCCGCAGTACAAGGGACTTAGTCCCACTCCACTAGCAATAAAAAAAATACAGCGTATAACGTATTTCATATTTCTTCTGACTTGACCTCTAACATGAGGGAAGAACACAGGCTGAGTATGTTACTCAGGGTACTGAGGGGAACAAACAAAACAAACTCCGTGATTTTAGTCCGCAAGCGAACTATACCGACCGACCAACCGACCGCCGCTTGTGGGCGAAGTTTAGTGCCAACTTTTGCGGATAGAGGGTGTCGCGTGGTCAACGCAACGAATCCCCACGGCAGTTAATTTCGATTTTCTAGACCGGAGCCGCTGTTTCCTTGAAATAGCTCCTCAATTATCATCACGAGGCTGAGTAGACCCCGTTCCAGACCCACTACTTCTCAGAAACATCTGGTAGCGTCGGGAATCGAACCCGGACCTCTGGATCTGTAGCCAGGAACGCTGACCACTAGACCACAGAGACGGTCTCGGACCTTTAGTTGGATCACATTTCTGAGACAAGAGCTAACACGTCATGCAGTGAGCGAAATATTACTATCTAACTAAAAAAACGCGGTGGCGTAGTTGGCTGACGAACTATGCTACAAGCCGGATGGTCGTGGGTTCGATTCCCAAAGAGGTCATTGGAGTTCCAGAAGCACTGTGACCCTGAGGTCGATTCAGTTCCTAACAGAAATGAGTACCAGGAATCTTCTTGGGGTGTAAAGGGCGGCCGACGCATAAGACTGACAACCTCACAGCCATTTATGAGCCGATTGTCTAGAGGATGTGGCAGCCTCGACGTCTCACAACCAGATGGGCCTCTACGGCCTGTTACAGGGACAGCTTTCACAGCCGTCTCCTCCATCCGCAACCCGAGGACGCGGCGTGCCATGGTGGCAAGGAACCCAATTAACATGGAAGCGAAATATTACACTGTTTCAATGCACTTAGGCTTTTAGTGAGCAAGATATCTCATGGAACAGTGGAACTTAAATGACAACCCGTGTAAGTGTGAGACAGTTTAATTAACGCCTCTTATGTAAACTAAACTTTGGATGTATGACGAGACGAGAGTGTGGCAGTGACGACACTCAAATTAGGTCACTTTTTGTGGGTGTGCGTAAAATGACTGCGCTTACTGTTCGGCTGAAGTCGAGTGCTAGGAGCGCTGTTATCTGCACAGCTCAAATTCTCCATCTTGTACGCTGGAGTTGGAGGCGGTATACTTCCCCCGGTAGGTTTCCACATGCCAGGCGTCACTGTGTCAAAACTCACAGCACCATAATTACGGGAGCCGGCAGGGTAAGCCTAACAACAACCCCCTCCCTTGGATTTTTGGAACCGAAAAAAAACGAAATGTACCAAATATTCATACAAAAATTAAAAATAATACTGAATACTCCAGAGCGGTTAGCACAAAGTCTTAATACCAGGGCCCGGATTTTGATGACATGTCATCTTTTTTTCCTTGTATCCTATGCGATGCTCTTAAATATATAAATCTCGGATTTGAGCTACTGGTTACAGAAATGTAAATTTTATAGGTAATTTTTTTGTCATTTTTAGGTTTAAGGTCATTTTTTTTCATTTTGGGGGTAATTTTTTGGGCTTTTAAGGGTATTTCTTGTCATTTTTGGCCATTTTAGGGATTTTTTTCTTCATATGTTTTCTGAAATGTGAATAATATGGAAGCGAAGTGTTCTTTCTTTTCTCCTTTGGGTCATTTTTCTGGATTTTTTCGGTCATCAAAATCCAGGCCCTGCTTATTACACACCTTACACTTAAAATTGTAAGCAAACGTTCCGGTTGCCTCCCCCGCCACCCCAAAAGAAAAACACCAGGCGGTGCCCATTACAATGAATATCTCAAGTCTTACAGAAACACTCATCTGGGTTAAATTTAATTCCGTCGTACGGTAATGTAAAGGTATCCCTGTAACAGGCCGTGGATTCCGATAGGGTTGTGAGACGTCGAGGATCCCAAATCTTGTAGACAATCGGCTCACAGATGGCGGTGAGGTTGTCAGCATTACGCGCTGGCTGGCCGCCCTTTAACCCCAGGAAGTTTCTTGGTACTCATTTCTGTTAAAGGCTAAGTGAACCCCAGGCCCACTGTGCGGCTGGAAGGATTGGGTCAACTGAAAAAAAAAATCAAATGACGTCATAGGAAATCGAACCCGCGACCTTATGGCATATAGAGTAATGCCCGAACGCCGAATTCAGTTAGTGTGTACCATGCCAATGAAGGCAAACGGACGATTCTCCGACAGCGGTACATCAGGAACACTTCCTGAGGAATGTGAACAGTAAATAATTATAAACATCTGCCTTTCGCTTCCGTTCACACTCGTTCTTCACCTTCGGTTATTTCTTTTCATGCCCTCTTTGTACTTACTTACATTCATGTTCTCTCGCGGAGGGGCTAAATGATACCGTATGATAATTTAATATCTGAATAAACAAACACACTCCTTGGCTTGAGTCCGCAAGCGAACTTCGCCGACAAGCGGCGATCGCTTGGTCGAATATCTGAATAAAGAGACCGGAAATGTTTATGTGAACCGACAAATTTATTTTATAAACTGCATTCAAAGAATAATAATACCTGAGTGGAAATCGGCCATGCATCGTAAGCTAAGAACAAACTGGTTTCGGTGTTGTCATCATTCGGCGGTGAACAACAGAAACAGGATACGAGAAATAATGTGGAGAGGGAACAAAAGACGCAATAAATCGATATAAATCGTCAACAGCGTTCACAAGGGTGGGAACACCACCAAACTTGGTCGAATGAGAATATTTCTTGCAGTGTAGACGAATATGCAAACAACAGGGGGGGGGACATCCGGGCAGGTTGGGATATTAGCGTTCTATGGAGTTCGTTATCACGATGCACCCACTTTAAAAACGACAATGTCGAACTTAACATACATAGAATATATTCTTAGTAGGCGTCGAAATATATAAAATGTTTCTAAATCCTTAACTAAAGACTGACCTGCCCCTGTATAAGGTTTACGTTTACATCTCGGTCCGCGTTAGCTCCCACCAGCTTACAATACAGTTCCGGTTCCTGAATTTCCTCTCCGCAGGTGGCAGTCGCGTAGATGCGGCGTCCTTCCGCCAAGTTGAAATACGGTGGCGTGAGAATGACGCCATGCGTCGTCTTGAGGCCGAGCAAGGCCACAGCCAGCAGTAGCTGCAACAGCCACATTCCGACCTGTCTCCTCCGCTGTCGTCACGTTACTGCCTGCCGCAGTGAAGCAGCGGTTCTGTCGCACCCTGGTTGCGAGTCTCTGGGCGTTCCCGGGTTCGGTTCCGAGACGTGCTGCGCAAGCCTCCCCCACAAACCCTGTCCGTTTCAAAAAATTAACACGAGGAAAAGCCAACAAGTTATGACATCTTCTGAAATAATAACGATTTTGTAGTCCGGGCGAAAGTCAACCGATGTCTCGGAGGAGCATTCCTCCGTCTTTAGGATCGAAGAGTAAGCCAAACATGAAATCAGCAAGAATCAAGAAGTTCGTGGAACTTTATGCTTGCTTCTTGCTTGGTATGGTCTTCGAACCTTAAGATGGAGGCAGTAAATCCATCGAAACGTCGATAGACTTATACCGGACTGCACATCACATCCCACAAGATAATAATCATATTAGTTACTGCTGTGAGAACCTTAAATCTAGCAAAGTTAGGAAATGTAGGCATTGTGTGACGATTCGGGCCAGTTGGTTCATTTTTGCTTAACTCAAAACAGCAAACCTCGTGGAAGAGGTATATTGTGTCACTTTTTGCCCATTTTCCTTATTTTAAAAAATAAAAATAGGATTTTATATATCAGTGTAATTGGTTGAGGGGCTATGCTACAAGCCGGAAGGTCGCGGGCTCAAGTTCCGATGAGGTCATTGGATTTTTTTTCAATTTACCTAATCCTTCCCGCCGCACTATGGCCCTGAGGTTGACTCAGCCCCTAAGAGAAATGAGTACCAGGAATTAATTAAATAATTTTCCTGGGGAGTAAAGCGCGGCCGGCGTGTAAGGCCTTACTGCCATCTTTGAGCGGACTGTCTAGATAATGTGGGACCCTCAATGTCTCACAACCCTATGGACCTTCACGGCCTGTTACAGGAATAGCTTTAATTTTATATATTTATATCATCATCATCATCATCANATATATATATATATATATATATATACCGTATTTACGCATGTATAGGCCGCACATTTTTTGCCAAAAATTCAAGAGGAAAACTGGGGTGCGGCTTATATTTGAAATATTCGAAATCAGACTTCATTTAAAAAAAATTATATTCATAATTAGTAATACAGGGTGTAATACTCCTGAAATAATATTCCAAGAAAATTATTTTTTCTATAATTTGTCTGAAAATTGTGCTGCGGTCTATACATGCGTAAATACGGTATATATCTTCCCATAACAGCTTTTGAATTCCCGAACCGATATTTATGATATGGTATATCACGGCATCTGAGGCCATCTTAAAGGTGTATTTCATAAATCTCTCCCATCAGCATCTCAAATTGTTGAGGTGATAACCTTAATGTTACTTAAATGCCTAGAGGGATGGTCATTAAACTTGACATGTATATAATGACACCTGGGGCCATTTCATCATCAAACTTTATAAATCCCTCCCTTCAGTACTGCTAACACTGCAGACTCTAAAACTGTGTTGTTTTATTGACTTCTTTATGCATAGCATTTTTTATCAAATATTTACATTGGAGGGGATAGAAAATACATAATTAGTTCTCCCAAAATCTTGTCCTTTACAAGTGTTTGTTTTCTAAAAAAATAACAGAAATGACAGAACATCCCAAAATTATTATGTAATTTGTACATTACCTAATTTATTCACATTTCAGTCCAACCTAGAGATATTATCTATGAGTGGAGTCAAAAACAATATACAATGATGAACTCTGAATTTACACTCTCTTAATATTGTCTGAACAGTTAAATCACGAACTTTATGTTGGACATGTAGTTCTGATATGAAAAACGAGAAATAGCCACGGAATTTTGAATGGAGAAAGTTCTTCGAAAGCAATAACTTGACACGAGAAATATGGTTCTCTTTATGGCAAATATTACATGGTTCCTGTCTTCTGTGACACGAGGTCATGTAATCGGGTACATAAGTACCACCATCTCACTGGAATCTGTTGCCTCCAGGGTCCTACCATAACATACTATCTCACATCCCTGAAGACAAGAATATTAATAGTCACTGTCACATTAACATCAAATCTCATTCCTAAGATCCAGTCCTGTCTTTTGGAAGTGAAGGCAGGTTGTTTGATTGATGGAACCTGCTGTCTCCATCTTCTGGGTGTAACACCCTTAAAATTACATAGCCTCAAACCCATATGAGCTGAAGCTTACTAGTCATTTCCATGGGAACCTCAAATCTCATTTCAGAGGTCTGGGCCCATTTGTTGGAATGTAAAGCCATGTAGTTTCTTAAGTAACTGCCAACATTTGAGAGGAACTTGCTAACTCGATCTTCAACGTATTCTACCCTGACAAACTACACGGCCATACATCCCAGAATTCCAGAAACAGAACCTGCTGATGAATTAAGATAAAGATGGCAACCTTGAAAAATTTGGCTTTGGTACAGAGGAACTGAAATGACTCTTCTTCCAGTATTATAACAGTGACTAAATCAGAGGTTACAATGTGCCGGACATGTAGACTGGAGGGTAGAAATGAGAAAAGAGAGTAGAAATTTGGTGGGGAAACCTTCTGGATAACAATCATTTAGTAAAATGAGCCACAGATGGGAAGATGATATTCAAACTAATTTTGGGAACATTATCCAAACACTATTGGAGTAAACTGAATCTTTTATTTCTAATACTGTTTTAATGTATCTGATAAAGATTTAAAAATACATTATTAACACATATACACTACATCATAATTAAGTTCAGTTTATCAGAGATCTAAAGCTCACTACATAGGGAACTAAATTAAGGTAAGCCAAATAACAATGTAACTGTATGTTTGAGAATTAACCCTTTCTGTTCTATGCTTCTCATTTAAAGTGGTTTTAATATATTTGGTATGTCAGGCCAATGAAAACCCCCTCCCACCATCTATAAATAGTTAAAGCTAATGAAATATCACTTTCAACAGTAAAAATTATCCTGGGCAGTACTGGGTTTTTGGTGTCCGTTGTCCAATATTCTAAAGAATCAGGTCCAGTGAATATAGTTAGTTCTTTCTAACAGGGTCAACAGTGTAGGCATCTCCCATCCCCTCACCTGAGGATGGAAACAGATCCAGTTTATGAAACACTGTGTTCATCAGAATACTGGAGAATGGGCATAAAATGAAAACAGTAATCCTGAGCATTATACATCATCATCACAACCCATTACAACATACCAACTAAAATTATATCTTACCATGGAAATATGACAAGAGAATAAGATTTTTTAACAAAAATTCACCACTGAAAAGGTTAATAGATCTCAATATACAAAGCAAATACAGGCCTAAAGCTTAGCTATTACACAATCCAAAAGAATGCAGACAATGAGCCAGATAAATCTGCTGTGATCTGCATGACGGAAAGAGGAACCATAAGATTTGAGACGCAGAACACAGAGAAGTGAAAGAAGCTACTATACAGGAAGGTCACAGTCGCCGAATTTGTCACACAATCTATCTTTGATCCTCAAACTGGAAACATCACTTAAACATATTACATGTACAATATGTTCCTTTCAGATTCTATGGAGCTAATAACAGTGCATTGTGGGTCATGACAACAATTAGTGCTGCCACATCAACATGGTATCTGGACTGCTAAGNGATAACAGTGCATTGTGGGTCATGACAAGCACAGTGCAGTACAACAATTAGTGCTGCCACATCAACATGTTATCTGGACTGCTAAGTAATGTTAACAGTACTGTGGGTTAGAGTGAACTGACAGTGTAGAAACTATGACGACAGAAGAATGGGAGAGATGTTGTAGTAAGCACTGTTCAGTGTTTATGTTCTGAATCACAGCTGATTTATTTGATGCAAGTTCTACTTTAATTAACAATAATCATGAAAGCATTTATGAACAGGATACAAAACAAAAAACAAACTCTGTGATTTTACTCCGCAAGCGAACTACACTAAGGATATCAATTAGCAATACTGGCAATAATATCAAAAACATCAATGTTTGTAAAAATTAGTTCAAGATAAAATAAAGCTTATTCAGTAATTATCTGCATAAGCTCTTAATTTTTGACTATGCAATGCCGCAGGCAGAACTACATACTACATAACAACACAAGTACCCTTTCCTTTTTCAGGTTATGGTTGCTTTCTTTATCAATATCACAGTATACAACAGCTGAAACTTTAATAATGAGGAGGAATAACACACAAATTATGAAATCATAGTTTACTTATTAAATTACAAAAATGAACATATGTAATGCAAATTCAAATTGTATATTAAACTCTACCATAATACTTACAAATTGCTTTAACAGCCATGGCTACCGTACATATTGACAAGAGTGTGGAGTAAACTTCATACTATCTTTGAGTGTTCTCTATTAGGTCTGTGGTAGGAAACAGGAAAGTTATATGTACATACTTATTAAATTAACTATAATCATATATTAAATTATACAATAACTATGGCACAAGACTCTGGAATCATTCACACATTGTGTTCAACGGAATTCAAAATTAAGTTTTAATTAAACTAACTAAATCCATGGAACAGTCTTTCAGAAGACAAATAGTCACTCAGATAATAAAGAAAGCCCCTGGTTTTTATGAAACCCAACTGTTCATTACCATACTTCTTTTGGCTTATTTTGGACTTCACCCATCGTCCGGTATATAAAAAAGACAAAAAACCACAACGTTTCGGAGACTGGATCTGTCTCCGTCTTCAGGTGTATAGGGAAGGTTTAACCTACTCAGTTGGGCCCCTTAGAAAGAGCTATTCTCAATCACTGGCCAAAATAAGTCCAAAATAAGCCAAAAGAAGTACAGTATACACCATCGTCAGAATCCTTTCAAGTCTATCTGTTCATTACCATGTTCAAAAGAGACTGCCACTGGTCCCTATCATGACCTGTAATTACCGTATTTACGCATGTATAGGCCGCAGCACAATTTTCAGACAGAAATTATAGAAAAAATAATTTTCTTGGAATATTATTTCAGGAGTATTACACCCTGTATTACTAATTATGAATATAATTTTTTTAAAATGAAGTGTGATTTCGAATATAAGCCGCACCCCAGTTTTCTTCTTGAATTTTTGGCAAAAAATGTGCGGCCTATACATGCGTAAATACGGTATATTTCAAAGAATTCTCCTAAACTCAAGATCTCACTAACAAAGTCACCAGTCACTCAGAATGATTTTTGTATGTCTTCTTCTTTAAGAAAATCTGTATGCAAAGCTAATATTCCATTATAAGTCACATCCATGCTTTGGAATATGAAATAAATGGATCCATCAACGTTTACATCACCAATCTCATGGTATCCTAGTATCAAATGTGGCCCATTACTGCAAGTGTGATGGCATTATGAACTCATGAACACTGCTGGGTATAAAATTTTACAGTAGTGTACACATATGATGGATACAAAGATAATAAATAATTCCAAATACAGAGTGCACTAAACCACACACCTTGGCTCTTGGTTATCCAAAGCTATGTATTCTATACCACACAGATTTCAGTACTGTACATTTTGCTTGAGATAACCATTAATATTTTTCAAATTATAAAGATAGTTCACATTAAATTTACTTGTGGCACCACTAGCAAATACATCCGGTTACAGGAGATTCCATGGCTGTGCGCATGACACACCAACAAACTCGTGATTGACTCTGTTGGTGTGCATGACACACCAACAGAGTCAATCACGAGTCTGCAACAGAAGGGTGCATTACAGCAAACAAGAATGGCATAACATGGTTAAATGACAGTATTCCCACTAATCTGTCCAAGCTGAACTAACAAACCACTATTCAGTTCCGTGGTGTTGCAGGTTGTCAACCAGCCAAAATGTAGGGAAGAATGCTGTGTATTAACACGTGTAGTGCCATCAACAGAAAACATTCTGACATGCTCACCAGGCCGTCATATTGCATGACAATGCCCATTCCCATCTACTGTCCAGGACACACTGTATTTCATGCACTGGAAGGTGATGAACTGCAGCTCATGCAGTTCAGATATGTCACCAAGTGACAACCATGTTTACAATATTATATTTCAGCATCCTGTTACACTCACACAATATATATGGATAAATACCGTCTTAAGTGCAACAAATTTTATTGTAGTTTTTACTTCTTTTCCTCCTCCACACTACATGTTTCGGCCCTAAATGGCCATCATCAGGTGTGTATCACTCACGTAGCTGTTACACTGCTTTTTAAAATTTAAAATTACCAGTCTTTCTAATTGTATAAAATCTTTGTTAATCTACACGCGTCGATTTGATTTTTAAATTAGCACTTTTTAAAACTTAATTCAAGTTAAAATGTCTATAAGATCTCTGTTCTTTCTTTTTCAATTTTTNGTAGGCGCTCTCTGTGTGTGTCGCCGCTTATCTTTAATACGTTTGCTGTCTGGTGTACTGTGTGCTGTGTTTTATGTTCGTGAGTGTTGGAGGGGGAATGGGTAGTGGGGAGTGATACACACCTGATGATGGCCATTTAGGGCCGAAACATGTAGTGTGGAGGAGGAAAAGAAGTAAAAACTACAATAAAATTTGTTGCACTTAAGACGGTATTTATCCATATATATTGACAACCATGTGTTTGACCTCCTGGGGATCAACTGGCCGGTGCATTAATGGGACATCTGCATCTGTACTCAATGGGACTATTTTTAATGGTCACTGTGTCCTTCTCCATAACAATCCTAAATGAGTTTAATTTCAACAAGACTTAAAGACTGTGCAGTAACTGACTTACACTTCCAAACTCACTGCTTACAATTTTTATTAGTAGAGAGTAGCAGGAGTGTAGAGCTGACCGCTCACCTCCATCTAGTGCCGAGGTAAAGAATAGTGGAGCTATACCTGTTTTCATGGCATAGTCCTTAACTAATTAAACACAGGGGCAATTTTGCCTTTTACCTTATATAGTAAAATTCCATTTTAATGTTTTCATTTTTTATACATATTTCTTCTGGTTCCTGCATGATATAAGCAGCATCTAACTTTCCTGTATTTAATGAGTTCTAACTATGTAAATAAGCAACATTCAGAGTAAGGAGTTCTCAGCTTTTCAGAATGTGTAAATGAACTTAATGATTATGGTCAAAACAACAATCAGTATTCATGTCTTCTCTCTGTTTGGCTTAGCTTCAACCTTGAAGTTGGAGGCAACATATTCCTCCAAAATGTTGGTTGACTTTCAACAGACTACATAGCACTATATCCCAGACAACAGAACTCTTCAACTAAAATTATGTTCAACAATATACAGTGTTGCTACTTGTCAAAATCTTAGAGGCCATGTGTGAGGTTCTGCTTTTATACATACTGCAAGCTACTGTGGATTGCCTGCTGAAATAATGGGTTCAGGAACTATACTGAGTCTATGGAAAGAAGTCCCCTGGGTGGTGGGGACGACAATCTTCCTAGGCCTGCTCCTTTCTGCCTACTATTGCATTTCCCTCAATCCTCCTATGGCATATATCAATCACCTCAAAGCACCTGTTGCTAGCCAACATTCATGTGAAGAGAGCAGCTAAACATCTGGAGGTAAATACAGAAGTGCCCAGCAGGGGGAAATGTAACACCCTGCAGGAGATGTGGAGGGTGCTTGTCAGTGGAACTTCTTTCCATGGCCTCACTATGAAATTAAGACATCTTTGGATGTTTGTAGTAAATTGCAGAAAGCATGACTGAGCTACTCAGAAAGACGGACACAGAGAAGTTAACCAGAAGGGTGACATCTGCAGAATCCATGTAGATGGTAAAAACTCGAGCTACAACAACCAAAAATTTCATTTATTTCAACCAGAAATTTCATGTATTTCATTCACATTTATGAAAGAGATCAAATATGGAGTTTCTCTTAGTATTGTGACTGAAAATAAATGCAGAAAAATCTAAGCAGAAATATATTTTTACTCAGTTTTATTGGGTTTTTTACTTTTTTTCTGTCATCCAGTATTCTAAAGAACACAGCATTTCGGAAACAGCACGTGTTTCTGACCTTGGGTGAGGGGATGGGAGACACCTACTCTGCTGGGTCTGTTACAAGAGAGCAGATCTCAATCAATGGACTTTGTGTTCTTTAGAATATGGGATGACGGATAAAGTCTGAAAACCCAGGAATCCTAAGTGTTATGCACCACTATAAGGAACTTTCAGAATATATATAATCACAAGTTATGTCCCAAATCATGGAAAATAACATAATAACAAATGCTAATAAATCATTTAACCCTTTCCATGCTGAGCATTATTTTTGGCTAATGAGGAAATGTCAGAGGACATACTGGTATATGTATGTATGTAATAAAACACAACATAACCTAAAATGTTGAAGGAAATATATGTACAGGCTCTGTGTCTAACCACAGTTCTACACTGCATGTGGGGAAGAGTGTGGCAAAGGAGTGGGGTAGTGGTCGCAGCTGTACTGTGGGAGTGAAAGTGATGCACTGCAACCAAGTCCCTGACTAACCCATGCACACCGTATGCTCCATATCTCAATTAGTGAACTTGACCAAATCCATTGTACGCTCTTCTTTATTGTTTTCCCTGTCTCAACAGAACAACTATCAAAATATCATTCACATTTACTGTGTATAATGAGCTTATTGATCTTAATGGTATGGCAGTGTGCTACATGTTTCAGCTTATAAAGCCATCATCAGGCAGTATACACTGGCTATTGTTCTCAAATTATTGAATTGTGTTTTATATGAATTCATATATTACAATATAACAATTAGCACTAATGTATCTGACTTTCCACATAGTTAATACATACACTATTTTGTCTGAATTAATACCATTCTTATAAATACACTGAAGTGCCAAAAGTCATGGGCTAGGTACCTAGTATCGTGTAGGACCCCTTCTAGCCCAGCGAAGTTCAGCAACTTGACGTGGCATCGATTCCACGAGTGGATAGAATACCTCTGGAGAGATGTTGAGCCATGCTCTCTGGTATTTGTAGGTGCAGGATTTTGGGTGCGAATGGACCTCTCCACCATGTTCCACAAATGCTCAATTGGGTTCATGTCGGGTGAACGTGGTGGCCACACCATTCGTCGGAACTCTCCAGAATGCTCTTCGAACCAATTCTGGACAACTCCGGTCCAATGACACGGTGCATTATCCTGCTGGAATATCCCATCGTTGTGGGGGTACATGAAGCCCATTAAGGGCTGCAAATGGTCACCAAGCAGTGTAACGTAGCAGTCACTGGTCAATGACATGTTTAGGTGGATGAGCGGACCCAACTCATGCCACGTGAACACACCCCACACCAGTATGGAACCACCACCAGCCTGCCTGGTGCCTTGCTGACAACTGGGGTCGATGGCCTCATGGGGTCTGCGCCACACCCAAACCCTACCCAAAACAACTGGTACCATTACTCATCAGACCAGGCCACATGTTGCCAATCCTCCAGGGTCCAATTAGCGATGTCACAAGCCCAGGTGAGGCACTGTGTCCGGTGTCGTGGTGTTAACAGAGGCTTCATAACTTGTACTCTTCTTCAAGTATAAATAGAATGATGAAGTCAAGGAGGATGACATGGGCAGGGCATGTAGCACGAATGGGGGAGAAGAGGAATGCATATAGGATATTGGTGGGAAAGCCAGAAGGAAAGAGACCACTGGGAAGATCAAGGCATAGGTGGGTGGACAATATTAAAATGGATCTTGGAGATATAGGATGGGTTGGTGTGGATTGGACTGGTCTGGCCCAGTATAGGGCTCCTGTGAACACAGTAATGAACCTTCGGGTTCCATAAAATGCTGGAAAATTCTTGAGTAGCTGCAGATTTGGCGGCTCCTCAAGAAGGGCTCAGCTCCATACGTAAGTAAGTTTATTTTTTTTGCAGGTTTCTGTTGTATAGTATTCTGTGGGTAATTATTATTATTATTATTATTATTATTATCATCATCATCATCATTATCATTATTATTTTTNCCTCTATCTGCAGAAGTTGACACTAACTTCTCCGACAAGCAGCTGTCACTTGGTCGGTATAGTTCATTTGCAGACTACAGGCCATGAAGTTTATTATCTAGTATTGTTTTTACAACAATTTTTCATCATTTTTGTTATATGTAATTGGGTATTTATCTATTCAGTTAATGAGGAAATTTATAGAAGCTTTTTTGTGTTCATAAGAATGGCATGAGTCATTGTGTATGATTAAGTCTATGGTTTATGATTTCTATAGATTCCTAATTGTAACTTATTGTGAATTTTTGTAATGGATATATCAAAGAAGTTAATTTTGCTATTTAATTCTTCTTCTATTGTGAATTTGATTCTGGGGTGCATCTTATTAAATTCCTCTGAGGTATTACTGATATTAGTTGCACGTTACATATGATTAGTATGTCGTTGACATATCTGTGATAGTCTATGATTTGAAACTTCTTCAAGATGTCCACAATTATTGTGTGTTCAAGGTGTTGTATGTATAAATCTTTATACTAGGATTGCCAATGTTGATGCTCCCATTGCTAGACCATCGTTCTGCTTGTACCATTTTCCATTGTGTTTGATATAACTTATAAACTTTACTTTTATATCAGTTTATTTTATTGTATTATAAATGCCATTAGGTACCTCTTTAGGCATCCACTTAATATAAAACTTCTATTCCAATTTTAATACATTTATAAGAATGGTATTAATTCTGACAAAATGTTGTATGTATTAACTAAGTTGAAAATCAGATACATTGGTGCTAGTTGTTAAATTGTAATATATGAATTCATATAAAACACAATTCAATAATTTGAGAACAATTGCTAGTGTATAAAGCTTTATAAACTGAAACATGTAGCACACTGCCATAACATTAAGACCAATAAGCTCATTTTACACAGTAAATGTGAATGAGATTTTGATAGCTGTTGTGTTGACACGGAAAAATCAATAAAGAAGTATATGTTAACAGGATGAAGATTATAAATGCTAGTCATCGTATATTCTGTTGAGAACAGCCAGGTGTAAAATCATGCACAGTACACATATGAGCTCATATGCACTACAGAAAGAGTTAAAAAGGGATGCAAAGTTCAAAGCATCTCAGCATGACGACGGTGATGATAAATTCAACTGTCAGACAACAAATTAATATAGGGAAGGAAGACTGATTCCAGAGCAATACAGTGTCTTGCTGACTTGCTGTGCTATAGCCCAGGTAGTTAGGTACCGGCCTCTCATCATGGATATTCTGGATCAATCCTAGGAGACTTCATGTAGGATTCATGATGGATGACATGACACTGGAGCAGGTTCATCTCAAGGTTTATTCAGCCTTCCTGTGATGATTATTTTATCACTGCTCCACATTCACCTATCACTGCCCTCTCATAAGTATAACAGCCCTGACCGGGCAGTGCAGTGTCAAGTGTTTGATCTTTAGCCTGAGGCTTCATCTCTGGCCTGGCACTTGGATGATTACAGAGTAAGGAAGTCAGAATATCTTGTTCATGGCAAGGAAAGGATTCAGATCTAATTCTCTGACAAATTGTATTGGCCTTATACTTACTGAAATTGGTGAATGCAGACAGGAACCATGTGAGTATGCTAACAGACTCCGCATTTTTTGTTCTCAAGATCTCTATCAACTGGACAACTTTGCTTGATGCTGACACTGGAGTGCACATGGGCTAAAACAGAACACTCTGTCATAATAAGGATGTCACAATATTATTTAATGATGTTCTTATCAATGTCATTATTATTACCTATATATTTTAGGAAACCAAATATAAAATTGTAAGATTTGAGGCTTTCACGGCGGTGACTATGAAGAAAGCAGTCTTCTGGGATTTGGCACCATGTATATGTGGTGTTAACCGACTGCTTTTACCGTTCTCACGGTCTTGTCGCTTGCAGATTTCTTATACTTTTTCTTCTACCCTGAAGATGGAGGCGATACGTTCCTCCGAAACGTCGGTTAACACCACATATACACGGTGCCAAATCCCAGAAGACAGCTTTCTTCAAATATAAAATTAATCTGTTGGTTATAACATGATCAGAAGTTGGCAGCAATAAACAGTCAGTATTACAGCGCTGAAATTTTCCAAACAAGAACAGGAAAAGAAAAAAGCATCTTTAGCTATTCCTACTATTAGTCTAGCAAGCTGTCTTTCAATACATTTTCCAGTTCACAGGGTGTATATTCAGTAAAACTGTGATTTGAAAGCGCCCATTAGAGATTTCACTGAGCTTTTAGTAATGTTAATAACAATGCTGATGAATGATAACGATATCAAACACTTTTATCTTTTGGCAATATGCAAGTGTATAACATGACTGCGCCTACTTACACAATTAAATAAATAAATAATAATAATAATTCAATTCGTGTTTATTTACATACAAACATAACAGCACAGTGGCCAATTACAAGTTAGCACAAGCACACAGAAATACACAAAAATAATNGCCACGACTGTCGCTCGAGCTTGAGTTCTTAATCACAGGATACGGGTGCTTTGGAGATGGGAGTTGAACACACTTCGGGGTAAATAAATCCGGGATCTCCAGAACATTGAATATCGTACTTTTAATTTCAACTTCAATTCAACTGTTAATCTTTGTATAGTCTTGTAAGTTAGCAGCTCTGTCCGCCCTACTCGCTACCCTACAGTTAAACATGTATTTCCTCTATATCTACCATTCAACTACTGTCCTCCTCCGCTCCCTATAGCCGACGCCCCATCTTTACAAGTCCCCCAGTGGGCATAAAACGAAACAAGAAAATAACAAGAGAAAGCCAAGGGTTGAGCCCGACATCTGCCCTACATTCGTATTTTTCGAGATGCCCATAAACCTCTGTAGGTCTTCAAGGAATCCAAGACCCCTCCTGGCCGGTCTCGCACACGGTCAGTTAATGGGTTTATGATAGATTGGGAGTAAACAGGCGACGTTAGGGACAATAGCGGTACCCTTAGCCTAAGGAGGACAATAGCGGAATTACAACTAGACGGTCCCGGGATGGTATCTCGCCGATGGAGCGTCTCTCATGGTATTAAACAATGCATAAGTAGTTCATACCCTTAATTATATAATTTTGACGAGGGACGTACGGTTACAATACACATACAAACACATAGACAGCAAGGTGATCTCATAAGCCAAATTTTATGTTCTCAAAATAAGGAAAGTAGGCTAAAAATGAGGNCTTCTCTCCTTTCTTCCTTATTGCTTCTCCTATCCATTTCATTTGCCTGTCCTATCACAAATACTCTACTTTTCCTTCACATTAGAACAATTGCATCACCCATATTCTTCCATTCCTCCATTCCTTTCATACCTTTATCTCCATCCCTGATTTCTCTCATATTCATCTCCCAGCTCCTTTATTTGAATAACCTGTCATCATTCCACTCCACATATCCTCAGAAATTTGAGGGGCTGTAATGTTGGCATTATTGAAGGAAGAGATTTACGGATTATGCCATTGAGATTGGCTCAGGTGCCAAGTTTCATGACGATTGGTTCAGCCATTCAAAAGTTAATAGGGGGATACACATACAAACACATAGACAGCAATGTGATCTCATAAGCCAAATTTTATGTTCTCAAAATAAGGAAAGTAGGCTAAAAATGAGTGAATTTTTCAGCCAAGATGTTTCGCTTTTTTCTTGCCCGTAGATTTATAGGAAATTTGTGTATGCCTGAAGTACACTACTGATTTCTGTATTTTTAAAGTTCAGTTTTGTTACAAAAACTTAAAGGAGGATGCTGTTTCATGTTCATTACATGTGAGTACATGTTTCGCTTCTTTTCTGGCCCCTAGATTTATAGGAAATTTGTGTATGCCTGAAGTACACTACTGATTTCTGTATTTTTAAAGTTCAGTTTTGTTACAAAAACTTAAAGGAGGATGCTGTTTCATGTTCATTACATGTGAGTACAGGCAATGATCAGTCACCTTAGGGCTCCCCAAAAATCATTAGATGCTTAAGTGGAAGATGTGGATCCTCTAGTCAGGCTATGGAAATTTCCATAAGAACCAACAAATCTACAACCTAAAATGCTACAAATAACACTTACCCAGAATACAGCAGATTCACTATGTTATGTACCCATTCCTGGGACATTCACAGAAAGTTTAAAGTTATGAATTCAAGTTATTTTTGGAAAAAGATAGAAGCCTATGAATTTCATCCAATTTCCCTTCAGTGAGCACTCAGCATCCCCCTCCCCAGTGATGATGAAACACAGAACATTTCAAGTATCTGTTGTACTATGAGTAAGTTGTATTTGTAATTTGTTAAGTCATAGGTTTGACGATTCTGCTAGCAATCCAAATCTCCAGAGCCTGATTTCTTGACTGGAGGAGTTCCAATTCTTTTGCCTCAGCAGTTCATCAATCTGTAGGAAGCTCAAGATAATCACACTGCAGTATCAATGGCAATGGCACTGATGGTAGTGGTAGTAGTAGCAGAAGTAGTAGTAAAGAGTAGCAGTAGTTATGGTGACATAAAGAGCTACACAGCTACCATGAGGATCAAGTCATCAACGTCTGTAACTATGGAAAATATTAAATAAACACATCAGCTTTGAAAACTAACCCTGGAGCAAATGTTATAATGCTTAGCTCAGAAAACACATTATAACAGGCTGCAAAACACTGACACAAAGGGATTATACTGTTATCTAACGATTCATCAGAAAATAGGTGTACTCAATTTAATGAAGTTACGCACCACTGGAATAGAATCTTATAACAAGCAAATTTATAAGCAGTCATGAAAAACGCACAGAATTTAGCAAACACATGCTCAAATGGATGCTCTGCATTATTATACTTACTGCCAGAACTGCTAAGATTGTTTTGGGAAGCAGACCACAGAGAAAGGCACCAGTAATTGCTATGTACAGTCCAAAACATGCAAAGCTGTTTGTACCTAGGAATCCCATATATTTCAGCACCAGAAAAATAAGGACTATTTCTTGGACTAAAATGATTGGGTACTCCATATAAGAAAGAAGTGCATAACTGTTACAGTAATTGTAACATGTCATGATAGAGTAACTGAAAAAGAAGGAAATATATTACTTTATATGCAGAACAAGGGTGAGCAAAAGCCTAAATCCCAGGCCAGGCAATGATAAAATCCATCTTCTTCCCTCCAGCTAAAAATGGAGCAAGTTTCTCAGAACGTTTTCGCAGTTAATAACATGAAATTTCCAGACACTGCAATGAAAACCACCACTGGCATCATAATTTTCAGAACAGTTTTATTTATGTATGTCACATGTCTTGATTACTGCCTCCTAATGGCCACAACATGAACAAAAGGTGTCCAGCAGAACTAAGTTTCATTTAAAAAGAAAGAAAATGGTTTGTAAAATGTGCCACCCCTAGACCTATGCAGCCTCAAGTGCCCATCTGGTTTACCTGTTCTGTTATACCAGCCCTGTATAGAACACACCAAGTGACCAACATCATTCAAATTTGATTCTGAGATTCGAATCAATCCAACTGACCACTTGTTAGTGACATTATATCAACTGCTTAATTTTTGGCATTAAAGGAAGATTTTTTCCATCTGCCCATGTTATATGTGAAAAATGAATAAACAAGCTTGAAAATTCTGTGTTAGGGTCAACATCACAAGTTGTCAAACTTGTTTACTTTTAATTTGTACCTCCACTCCCTCATCCGTCTTCACAGAGTGGCGTTTCGTTAATTTAGGGCAGGGAAAACATTACCTTCTTCAGTCCAACATACTATGGGACCCCCATTTAATGCTTTCCCTCATTTAACGTTAAATTTCAAGGAACCCAGATCAATAATCTCGGTATTAAATTTCCTTCAGTTCAAATTTTCAAGTTAGTGTTCAAATCTAATGCTCCCTCAGAAAAACTACAACGCAGGTTACATTGTAATTGATTCTGCCACATATTGAAATACATTAAAAAGAAAGGAAAGATCTGATAAGAAATGTATTTATCTATCTGTAGTTTATTTCATGATACTGGCAGTATCTCAGACTATATCTGATTGAATGACAGGATTACTGAATCAGAAATTGAAAAAGATGTACATATGCTATCCAGAAAGCAAAGACCATTTGGTGATTAAAAAATAAATGAATAAAATTACAAAATTTTATTTCACATCATTACTACACAACTTATACCATTTTTTACATAATCCCCACGAAGATTCAGGCATTTGTCATATCATGTGATGGGTTTCTGTGTCTGCATTGTAGAAATCTGCCACCAGTCCACAGAACCGGTCCTTACCCATCCTCTTCATCACTACCCATACATGTGACACCCAAAAACTGCTTCAAGTGTGTGAACAAGTAAAAATCACTTTGAGTGAGATCTAGATTGTATAAATAATGGAAAAAAAGGTCCCTGGCAAAGTCAGCAAGTAGTACATGTGTGCTAGAGGTCTTTACTTTCTGGACAACCCTTGTAGATGGTCTATTTTAAGACACTATGCCAGCATTTGCTTGGAATGATTGTTTTTGGATATAGACATTTTCCCCTTAAGTGTCGGTGCTAAACAGTGTTATATCCCTGAAGACCACCATACTCTGAAGAAAAACAACCACAAATCCTCAGCATTTACAATACTCTACTAACTTACATGCATTATTATGCACTTATATAAATGTTTCAAAAACCTGCCACAGATATAACATGGATTTCAGGAAATTATCATCCAAAATTTCTTAACATTTCAGTGTCGGTTTGATAGTCCAATTCACTGCCACCTTGACAAAAGAATACATCATTCCTGAGCCTAATCTAAAACAATATGCTAGAAGTGATAACAATGATCAGCAAATGAAATAATTAATCTAGGAATCCATACCATTTGTAGGATTTGAGGTTCTCACAGTGGAAGTTAAGACAATTTCTATCTTATGGGATATAATGCCGTGTAGTCCACTGAAATTTAACTGTTTTTTTTTTCAGAGGAACATAACATCTCCATCTTCAGGGTCAAAGACTAAGCCAAGCAAGAAACCAGCATGAAAAGCAGGTGGCTCTGCTTTCCACCTACTTTCACCATGAAGATGGAGGCAATATGTTCCTCCAAAAAGTCATCTGACTTTGAACGGACTGTGGTATATATCCCAGAAGACAGAATTCTTTATAAAGGAAAATTAGATTGTGGGTTAATACACATAATCCAGCCCAGTGCAGTATAGTGAAACACACTCATATTAGACAGGGAGAAGCGCTTGGATCAGAGATGACATCCCATACAGACACACAAGAAAATGTTTAACATTTAAAAATACCATACAATTAATGTAAATATTACAGTTTTACACACACTCACTCATGAAGCTGAGTCCTTCTTGAGAAGCCGCCAACTGTGCAGCCACTCAAAAATTTCCCAGCATTTTATGGAACCCGATGTACTATATCATGTTCACAAGAGCCCTCCATTGGTCCCTATCCTGAGCCAGACCACTCCAATTAATACCATCCCAACCTATCTCTCCAAGATCCATTTTAATATTGTCCACCCACCTACATCTCGGTCTTCCTTGTGCTCTCTTTCCTTCTATCTTTCCCACCAATATCCTATAGCTATTCCTCTTCTCCCCCATTCATGCTACATGCCCTGCCCATCTCATCCTCCTTGACTTGATCATTCTACATAATTATATTTGGAGAATAGTACAAGTTATGAAGCGCCTCATTATGTGGTTTTCTCCAACCTCCCATCCCTTCATCTCTCACTGGTCCGAATATTTTCCTCAGCACCGTTCTTAAACACCTTCAGTCTGTGTTCCTTCTTTGATGTCAGAAACCAAGTTTCACAGCCATAGAGAACCACAGGCAAAATTATAGTTCTGCATATTCCAATTTTTTTTTTTTGACAGCAGACAAGACAAAAGGTTCTGAACTGAATGGTAGCAAAGAATAACTGAACTCAATTGCCTCTTAATTTCCTCCTGACTCAAGTTTTGATTTGTTATCGTCGTTCCCAAATATCTGAACTGTGCCACATTTTCAAAACATCTGTTACCTATTAAATTTGTTTCATTCTGACCTGTCACACTAACAACATTATGGAAAAGTTAAATATTTCCATCCAGCGTGACTGGTTAAGATTTTTTTTTTTTCTTATTTCAATTATTCATGCTCTTACATGTTTCGGTCTTCAGAGACCATCTTCAGAGGGACACCTTTACATCAATACAGTTAGAAGCCACTATTACAGTACATGTTCTAAAAGTTAAAATATACACATACAACATAAATATACAATTCAGTGTAAAATCTAAAGTCTTTACAACTACAGCAGCTGTTCTAATACATTAAAATATTTACAGCAGTTAGTTTGATAAGATTATTAGAATTTGTAAACCAAGCTGATTCATGTCGTCCCTCTTATTATTTTTTTATGACTGGGCCGAATGTGTGCCACCTTGTCATTCTCGAGAAGAAGGTTCTTTATATTGTCCTGTATGTGTTTGAACAAGTGGGACACAAATGCATACAGGACAACATAAAGAACCCTCTTCTCGAGAACGACATGGTGGCACACATGCGGCCCCCGTCAAAAAGAAATAATAAGAGGGACAACACAAATCAGCTTGGTTTACGAATTCTAATAATCTTATCAAACTAACTATAAATATTTTAATATACTGGAACAGCTGCTGTACTTGTTAAGACTTTAGATTTTACACTCAATTGTATATTTATATTGTATATTTTAACTTTTAGAACATGAACTGTAATAGTGGCTTCTAACTGCACTGATGTAAGGGTGTCCCTCTGAAGATGGTCTCTGAAGACTAAAACATGTAAGGACATGAATAATTTAAACAAGAAAAAAAATCTTAACCAGTTACACTGGATGGAAATATTTACTTTTTTCATAATCTGCTACCTACCTTTATGTCATGAGTTTGCCCTGCATTCTGGTGATGAGACAACACATATAATTAGTTTTCTGTGTTTACTTCTAGACCAACCACCTTACTAGTGTCAATTACATTTTTAGAAATATTCTAAGAAACCAGCAAATACAGCTCATTGATGTATACAGGCAATCAGTAACCCTTAACACTCACTGAAGCCAAAACCAAACACAAACAATAAATGACAGTTAATAATTTTATTTATGTAATTACAAGGGTGTGTACAGAATTATTAAACTATAGTCATGCAGCTTATTTACCTTGTCAGTTCCAGAAGTAATGAATACAAATTGATACCCACAGCTGACTTCAATTTGATGAGGTTGATTATTTGGGGAATTTTTAATATAAGACAGAGTGAAATGGTTATTATACTTAAAACGTCTGCTATTAATTCAATCACACCCATTCCTAATTTTCCTAAAAACTGCCCTAAACTATGAATTACTACAAAATAACTATTTTCACTGTCATAATGATATCCGTTACTTTCGTAAAAGTATTAACACCTTCATTGGCCACCTATACTAAAAATATAACACATCATTGTGTCCCTTTCCCAGGACATGTGCGACTTTCGCAATGTTTTGGCACTGTGTCAAAAACAAGTCATAGGTTACATTTGAGTGTTAATTCTTTGGCAAGAAGGCCAACAATTTTTGCACAGAATACGAGATTTCTTAATTCAACCATTACAGAAGTAAACCATTTTTTTTGTCTTGCGTTGCCAAAATTACCGTCACATAAGGTTACGGTTAGACTGTGCAGCCGAAATTAGAACATTTTTTTCACACTAACACAGCTTCAACAACTTACGCCAATGCAGCCGCCTTACACTATAGTTTCCGTGATTTCCGTTACTAGGTAAACTATGTATCAGCACTCTGTAATTCCCATGTTATTGGTGGGCAATATGGCCGCCATGACGCCACGGTGCAATGCTACTACCATCTCTACGTATCCCACATTAACTAAATTTAAAATGGACCGAAAGCACAATCGGTAACAAGGTATGCTAACATAGCAACTATTTTCAGTGTTCCCCACCCCCCTCCCACAGCTTGGTTCGCTAGAATAGAAATAAACACTTTGAAAACCAGATCTCTTGTACTGTAGAGGTATCCGTACCCGCACCCTATTTCTATTTTTGAACGGCGTTCAGTATCACTAGTCAAGGAGGATGAGGTTGACAGGGCATGTAGCACGAATGTGGGAGGCGAGGGATGCATACAGGATATTGGTGGGAAAGCCAGAGGAAGAGAGACTACTGGGAAGACCAAGGTATAGGTGGGTGGACAATACAGGGCTATTAAAAAAGAATGAACCGCTTTCATGACGAATTGCTTCAGTTCTCAAGCATCGTCATGGAACAGGGGGTGGAATCTTGAATAGGGGAAAGGGCAACACGGTAACTACTGCCTCTACGAATGACTGCAGTAACTACACGCAGGTCTCGACCAATCAGAGAGCCTAACCAAACCAATTTGAATACCCATAATTACTTGCGGTTATCGTGGTGCATTATATGGAAATTGGTAAGTATGAATGTTGATTTGATGTGGTTGCGAAACGAAAGTAGACATTTGCGAACGAAATTACAGCTCCATATTAAACATATTATTTGTGTATATTAATGTTATGCTTACTACCACAAATGGAATTAGAAACATACAGAATTCTTTCAAGCCTAAAATTTTTGAGATTATCATCAACTGTCATCTAAATGATATTTTTTTATGATATGTTCTGAAACTTTCGGTTTATCCCAGAGATTGTCTGTTGAATGTGAAGGAGTTCTAAGAGTACCGTGACGGTGTTATAATTTTTGTATTGCTTCTTGCAGCATAAAA